CTGCCATTAGCGCTTGCCCACAGGTATAAACATTCCTTCATGAAAAGGTCCAGGGGAATGTACACTACGTCGATAAAAATCAAGACGACAAACAAAAGCGTATTATATAACGGAGCAGTTATGTAAAATTAGATTTTAAAACAAGACGTGTCTTTAATGACATTGATCCTGGACGTGGTCAAATTTCCTGTTCCATTTATATTCCCTACAGCCATACCAAGTGGTGGCAGTGGGGAAGGGAGGAAAGCAAGAAAGCTCGACAGGATATTCTTGTTTCAGTAATTGCAAAATGGAAGACCACTGTGTCTGTACTGAGAATAAATGCATTGGATGGCTTCACAGGAATAGTATGACTCCAGTGGTCTCCCTTACTGGCATTAGGGCAAACGGACACATGAGGAATGGAGAGCTCTTTGGAGCTATGTAGTGTCACCAGCTCCCCCCAGCTCACAAGAATCCTTTATGGTCTAGCTAGGCAAACACTACGGGCAAAATTCTCAAAATGTTTACCTGTATACAGCCCTTGTGCTGCAAAAACAAGAGATTTGTTGTATTCTTCCTGTAAATGAGGCTGTTGAGCATGGAGGAATTAAGTAAGTTCTAAACTTAATTCCCCTTCCCGCTCCGCCCCCGGTCTCCATTTTGTGAACTTTTTTTTTTTTTTTAAATAACATTCCCATTCCATTATTAGGCCAATTCCTTTGTCAGGTCTCATCTGATAGGGAGCATTTCTAATAAAAAATCTTGCCTCTCTGCCTCTCTCTTTTTTTTTAGACTGTCGTGAGGCATATTTCAGAAAGAGAATAATCTTTTGAAAATACACCTCAAACACAAGACGTGTCTCTAAACATCTGTCAAAGGGGAGAGAGAAAGCAACTAATGGCTCATATGGACAGAAAAACATGGATCTCTGCAAAGCACAGGAAATCTACGCTCTTGATCTGCCTGTACAAGAGCAACTTTGTGCAATGGTATCAGGGTATTGCCCTAAGGCAGGCCCATCAGGCCACGAAAAGATTCCTCTTCCTTTGGGAAAATCAATGTAGCAGCACCATGTAGCACCTCCCAAGCCTTCCCCCCTGGAGGAGTGGCTGGCCTTGCCTCCTTGGTATGCCATGACACCTGGTAGTCAAATGAGCTCTTAAAAGTTGAAACCAATTTGAGGGCAGATGGAGCAGGCTATGAACGGCCGTGCCAGAGCGGGGCAGCACAGCCAAGCTGCAGGATCAGAGCTGAGCCGGCAGCGCTGTAACTGTGGACGCTGAGCCATAGCTGTACACAGACACACCACTTCCAAAACACTCGTTTGCACCCAGAAGATGTCGGTGGACCAGCAGCTCTTAGGATACCATATAGCAGAGTATGTCCAGGCCAAATTTTTTTTAGAGTCCCACTGATGCCTGAAGAATGGCCACGTCATTAGTGTTACACTCGGTGTCTCTGATCTGTTCAAAGAGTGGAATTACTATGATCAGATCCACTACTAATTCTAGATTAAAAGTGTATCTAGGTTCTCCTTCCTAACATGTCCTACTTTGTGTGTGGGCTTTTCTTTTTTCTCCTTTTTTGGTGGATCATGGACAATTTTTTTTTCTTTTCTGGTACTAGCCAAGCTCACCTCATGCATCCTTGTTTCTCCTGCCTCCCATTCAGGTGATTAAGCAGTGTAGGTCACCATTTTATGAGTGGCAGGGGGGAAGACTGGCAGGGCAAAAGAATCCCTTGGTTGGTTACAGGCCCCTTGTTTATTAGATGAAATTGGTACTTTTTTCAAAATTTCAAGTTAATCTTTCTCCTCTTTGTATGACGAACTCAGGCAGCCAGCCTCCTGCCAGGGGCTGTTAAGTGTTATACAGCAACGCAGTGATCTACGCAGTGATCTAACGTCTTGGAAAATAATGTGGAGTTTGCCCAAAAAAGAAAAAAAAAATACATTCACCAATCTGACTCCAGCATGCAGATTTTAAAGCCTTCAATAGCCATCATGAACAACTAAGAGTTCAGAGCATTTATGCCCACTGCTGCCAAACAAAACAGGCAGAGCACTTCA